GGGCCAAGGCTCGTTTGAGCTTCGCTTCGGGCGTGCTGCACTCGCCTCGATCGGCTTCGTTTGTTTGTTCTCGCCTACAAAGTGGGCGCTTTGAAACGCCGGGACTGCCCCTTCCCACCCCACCCGTGTGCGCGCTCTCCGTGGTCCCCCGTGCACCCCCCTGGAGCATCCGTGGCAGGGCCGTCTAAGGGGAGGGTGCGCACCCCCGAGGAGGGCCGGGGGCTTGTGCAGGAATTCAGGGCCGGGCCTGGCCTAGAGCTCGGGGAGCCCAGAGATGCCCTTCCGCAGGAGGGACCCCAACCTAGGCAAGGGGCCCCTCCCCTTTTCACGGGGAGGAGTTTAAGCTGGGAGCTGGTTGGGAACACATCCTTGTGAGGGGACAGAGACTGCAGAAAAAGGGGAGGAGGGAAAGAGAAAGACTGAGGCAGGCAGGCAGGCAGGGGATGCGGGATTCTGGAAGGGTTGTGAAGGGCCAGGGCAGCGCAAGGCGCCCGCCTGTTGGCCCGCGGCTCGGCCTCGGAGTCCGCGCACCCCACGACACCCCGAGTACCACCGGGGGCGCCCCCCTGCCGCAGCCGTTCCCCCGAAGCGCCCGGCCGAGCGCACGCCGGGCAGCGCCGTTCAGCTCCCCGCTGACGGCGGGAAAGGTCAACAGTGGCCGGGCAGGCCGCAGGCGCGGGCTGTGTGCGCCGCCCTCACCCGCCCCGGCAAGGGGGCCTCGCCGCGGCTCCTGGGCGCACTCTCGAGCGTCCTTGCGCGGGGGGGGGGGGGGGGCGCAGCGCACCCACCCTGGTGGAGCTGAGCGGGTCTGGGGCCCTGACCCCCCCCCCCCCAGCTGCATGGAGCCTCCGGAGTTCCAAATGGGGAAAACGCGGGGAGGAAACAGAATCCGCAAACCAACAGCAGAGCTGCCCGCGCGCCTGTCTCTGCCGACCTCAGGGGCCTTCCCTGGCGCCCGGATCCTGCCCCGCGGTCTTTGGCCTGCTGGCCAGATGTGCGTGGGGGGCCCTGGACCCCAGTGCAGCCCCTCTCCGTGGGCGCCCGTCCCGCGCCTGGGAGAAAGGCGGCTCCGCGTGGAAGGAAGGAAGCAGGACGGATGGGAGGCATGGCGAGGCCTGTGCGGACGCGAGCTGAGACGATCCCTGGCCGGGGCGGGAGAGCACTCGTGGATCGCCGGCTGGCCCCGTGCCGCGTGGCGTGGCGGCTGGGGCTGGCCCAGGAGCGGGGCGGCACGGGCCCTGCTTCCCCCGCCCGTCCTGAGGCTCGCTGGAGCAGCCGGGCGGTCCTCGGCGCCCACCTGCGCCGGCTGTCGGCGCCGCCTCTCCCCGCCTCACCTACCTGCGAGGAGAACAACGGCGCCCATGGGCTTTCCGCCCGACGCCTTGTCGGAACAGGGGGCCACTCGCGTGGGAAGTCCCGCATCAGCCTGACGGAGGTGGCTCTCTGGTTAATACACGCGGAGTCAGCGCGCCCCTGGCCTGGAGCCGGGCGACGGGGCGGGCCGCCCCCATCGCTGTCCGGCAAGCGGGGCGCGGAGGGGCAGCGGCCTCGGCAGCCCGGCGTCGAGCGGCCGCGCGGAGCGGAGCGCGCCCGGTCGGCCTCCCCGGACGCCTTGCCCGCAACGAATGCGCGCCGGAGCGGCTAAATTCAGTTGCTCTCCAGCAGGGGAGTGGAGCGAGGGGGGAAGCGGGGGGCGTCCCGGTCTCGGGCCCGACTCATTAGCTCGGAGAGGGCTGGAGTCTGTATTTTATGTAATTAGATTGATTCGATGCCTGGAAACAGCAACGCGAGAGCTATAATTTAAACCGGAGGGGGCAAAGCCCCCCTCCTCCTCTTGCCCCGCTCCTGTCACGAGCTCACCAGCCCCCCCCCCCCCCATTATCTGCTTATGTGATGTGCAAACACAAGAGGACGGCGAGGAAGAGGGTCTGGGGCGGGGGTCGCTTGCTCGGAAGAATGCGCTCCGGCCTTCGCTCCCCGCCGCCTCCTTCGCAGGGGCAATCCTTCGGCGAGGGGGGCGCCAGGTCCCCCCGCCAGGCTGGGAAGAGGCGACAGGTGAGTCCGGCCCGGCCCGCCTCGGGGCCATCTGCCGACGGGCAGCCGCCGAGCGCGCGGCCCGCTCCGACTGGAGGGAACAAAGGCGCTCTCCGCCCCGGGAGGCGCGCCGGCCGGTGTAATTGCGAGGTTTCGGGTGATCCCTCCGTCTGCCGGGGGTGCCAGAGGGAATAGGGCGGCACGTGGCGAGGGGGCCGGGAAGAGCCCCGCCCCGCCCCGCCCCGCGGGACTCCAGGGACCCGGCAGCGCGCGAGTCCGGAGCAGAATCGGATCGGCGCTTCGCGCGGCCGCCTCCCCGCCCTCCTGGCGGGCGAGCGCCGCTTCTCCTCGGCTGGCGCGCAAAACTTTGGAGCCTTGAGTGGAAGGGACGCGGGGGCGCCGTGCGCGGCCGCCTCTCTGCTCGCCGGCGCCTCTGCCACGCGCGTGTGTGGGTGTGTGGGTGTGTCAAGAGTCTCAGTGACGACCCGCGGCCGGGGCGCACCTGCCAGTTCGACAGGAAGGGACCTTCTCCACCGTTCTTGCTGCCGCCGCCGCCGCCGCCGCCGCCGCTGCTATTATCGCTACCGCGGTTGCTATCCAGGAATCCGGGCGGAAGGAGGCGCAGGGCGAGGCTGCGAGGCCTGATCCAGGCTCCGCGGAGTCGCAGCCCGGCGCGGGAGGCGGCTGGGCGGGCTCTCCGCCCTTCCTCCCGCGCCACGCGCACGCACGGACGCGCGCAACCCGCCGGCCGGCGAGGGCGCGTCTTGGCCGGCTCCGCAGCCGCCGGGACCGGCCAGCTGGGCCCCGGGAGCCGGAGGGAACGGCTCGCTCAGAACGCGAGTCAGGGCGCGTCGCGAAATCGGCCCGGCCGTCCTTCCCTCTGCGCCAGGAAACTAGGTAACGCGATGACTGCCCGAGACGAGGAGGAGGAGGAGGAGGAGGTGGGGAAGGGGGCAAGACCGGGCGGAGGGGCCGGACGGGGCCCGCGGGCGAGAGGGCGGCTCGGCCTGCCAGAACTTTGGAGATCGCGGCTCCGGCGGCCGGAGGCGTTCAGAGACCGCTTCGGAAAGCGCCCCCCCCCGCCCGTTTTAGGTGTCAGGAGGGGAAGCGAAGCCCTCCATCACGTGCTCCTCTCTGGGGCCCTGTTAAATGCGCTGAACTTAAAAGAGAACAAGACACGCGAAATGCGGGTTTGAGCGTGCAGTGTCAGAAGCGTAAAAAGGTTGGAAGTCTTTTTTAGCGATGGGTATTAATATTGTATAAAATGCAGCCGGAGAGGGGGGAGGAGGAGGAGAAAGGAAAGGGGAGGAAGGGCGGGGGCGTCGGGGAGGGGGCTGTGGGAAGGGCGGGGCTGCCCTCCTGCGCGGGTTCGGCAAGGTTTTTAAATCTGTTGCCGCGCTCCGGATGGATCAGTCGCCCCCGGAGGAGAGAAGCGGCGCTGGCGGCGACCCGCGGCGGAGGCGCCGGTCCCGCGGAAGGGCCGGGCCGCACGGGGGGCGCCTGCCTGCGAAGCTGCCGGCCAGGATTCCCCGAGGAAGGCGCGCGGGAGGCCGGAGGGGCGGACGCTGCGCCGAGCCCCGGTTCTCGAAAGAGGAGGATTACAAGGAAGGCGCGCAATGGAGGGGAAATCCCGCCCCATCGGACCGCGGCCACATTCCACGCCAAGCCCTCAGGATCCCGCGCAGGCTCTTGGGGGAGAGAGCCCAAGAAGGGCCTGCCCCTGGTGCAGATAGGCCGCCTGCAGAGACAAGGAAAAAACATTCTCTAGCTTAAGTCGGCTAAGGATCGCGTGGAAGAGCCCGAGCCTCAGCGGTCTGCGTGCAGAGGCGCCCCTCGAGTCGAAGGGGGGGCATGCTGGGATCGGGCAGGGCTATACCAGCCCAGCCCCCACCGGCCCTCGCGTTGCTGGACGAGGCAGCCGGCGCTTCACAGGGGGAGGTGCTCCCCTCCGCCCCCCGCGCAGCGCCCCCGCCTCCTCCGGGCGCTCTTCTCCCAGCTCCAACCTGGCGCCCCCGCCCCAGCCCCGCGCGCTTCCCACCCTCCCGGGCTAAACTCAGCCTCGGAATCGAAGCGGTGCCGGGAGGGGGCCGGGGCTTCCCCCACGGGTGCGCTCGCGTGGCTTTGGTACGGCGAGGGAGTCCGGGCGGCGCGTCACGCGGACAGGCGCCGCGGGCGAGCACGAACCCTCCCCCCGGCTGGAGGCTGGGGAGGCACGTGTGCGCGCTTCCCGGGCAGAGGGCTCGCGGCTCGGCTCCCCCCCCACCCACAACCCGCCGGCTGCTCGAGAAGAAGGGGGTCTTTCCAAGAAGGGAGACGTCCCCGGATCAAGACGCGGGGCAGAGATTGGCAGCATCCCGGGGTGGGGGGTGGGGTGGGGGGGAAGACGGTGTGGCTGAGAACGGAAAGCCCTTTTCGGGAATCGGCTGCACTGGATGTGGTGGGGCTGGGCGACTTCACCCCTTTGCTGGATGGAGCGAGATTCCTTGAAGTTTGGTCCATGGCCTGGAGTGCCGGGCCCGAGGCAGGCAGCCCCTCCGCCGGCTGGAAGCCCCTCCCCCCCCCGCGCCTTCCTGCCCTTTCCTGGCCCTTGAGCGTTTATGCTGCTTTCCAAGCCGCTCTAAGGGACACTCTCCTCCCTTCTGCCCCCCTTCCCCGCTCCGGTCCTCCTCAGCCGACTCTCCGCCCCGCGGCGCCAACACCAAGCAGCCCACGACCCTGCGGTCCCGCGCGGGAGGCTGCCCCGAGGAGCGCGGGCGTTCGGCGACGGGGCCGCCTCCCTTTTCCCTC